GAGTGTGTGTGTGTGTGAGAGAGAGAGAGTGTGTGTGTTTGTGTGTGTGTGTGAATGTTCTGTTGTGCGGAATTCTAAAAGCGTTATTTTAATACCACTGTGACACACACATGTGTGATCCTTAAAGGGACAGATCACCTAAAAATATCAGTTCTGTCATTTCATTCCAAACACATGCTGCTCTTTTCCATGCAATGATAGAGAGCAGGAACAAATGCTTCACAAATGACTAAAGAGCATCATAATTAAAGTATGAAAACAGTCATGTTCTGATTTGAAGGTCTTTTAAAGTCATAAGTACTTTTGCATATACAAACATTCCAGCTTACATGTTAAAGAATGTTTTGCTGATGACTGTCATTCTGGAAGTGAACACTGAAATGATCACAGAATGAAAGTGTGAGTAAATGATGGCAGAATGGTAGGGTGAACTGTCCCTTTTTAAACCGGTGAATGTGTCTCGTGATCACATGACCTCCATGACCTTGTGCCCCCTGACTGACTGAACACACACACACACACACACACACACACACACATATGAGGATGAAGAGGATGAAGAGGATGCACTGACCCCACTGCAGGAAGCGCTGCACGTGTTTCTCTCTGAGCAGAGCAGGCGAGCTGAACTCCTGATAAACTCCCACCAGCAGGTCCAGCAGCGTCTGCAGGCTGACGGAGCCCTTGCCATGACCCGCCGCGCTGTGGTCCGGCTCGATCACATGAGCGGCCCCTGTGGGCCCGGGGCCCGTGGACATGGCAGAGATCCGGCTCATCCACAGCCCTGCTCCATGATTCCTGAATCCCAGTCCGTCTGTGTGCTTCTGTCCGTGTGTTTCTCCAGCCCTTTTTTGGTGTGTTGGTCAGCCTCTCTCTCTCTCTCTGCTCTGTGTGTGTTATTGTGTATTTTGTTCTCTGTCTCTCGTGTCTTTAGTGCTCTGCTATCAAACTCAGGTCACTCACAGCTTCTCTAAATACAGAAGTTGGTCGGTTTGTTCGAATGAACTTGAACTCTTCTCTGTCTTTCTCTCTCGTCCGCTTTTGCTCTTCTCTTCCTCTGTTTATGCACACGTGTCTCTCTCTTTCCTCTTTCTGTCTCTCTGTGCAGTTGAGAGTGATACATTGTAAAAAAATCACATCTGTCTTGTGTTTCAGTAAAATATCAATTCATCTTTAAAACTAAATTAATTAACTTGAGAAGAATTGAGAAGAATTCACTTGATTTAGGACACGTTTTACGTGCTTAATATACAACATGCTAAACAAACATCTATAAAGTGCAAACCAGTCTGTCATTATTGTATGTTAACAGGTTTGTGAAAATGATTTGTGAAAAGACTGTTTGTTTCATCCTCTGAGAGTCTGTGTGATTATGTGTCCTCTGTCTCCCTCTAGTGGTCTGTTACACAAACACAACCAGGTCCAGTTAAACTTATACATCAAAAACAGATGAGCAGTTCCTGAAGAAACACCAGGCTCATTCATTTCACTTTTGGTGTGAAAGGGCTTTTACATTTGACAAAAATATAACTTTTTATATTAAAAACAAATAAGCAAGACCAGCCCAGATGAGAAAAAGCAATGCAAAAGTAACATAATACATTACTTTCCATAAAGGGAGTAACGCAATACACTGGTGAATCCATCAGACTCATCAGAGGAACAGAACACAGAAGGACAGGTGAGAGGCAGACATCAGGAGGACATTCACTGAACACTGGACACACGCAGTGGACACTGAACACAGAACAAGAGGACAGACTGAGCGAGCTGATCTGAACTCACTAGCTCACAGGTGAAACTCATGGCTTATGCATGTTAATACCATGGTATTGTTAGAAGAACCTAGGAATGCAAAAGTCAATGAATATAGTATTTATCATGCTGTAATGTAGCAGGCCTACCACCAGTGATTTTATGGTGTAAAGACAGTGTGTTGTGATACGAGCAACATGAAACAAGCACAGTGATGGAGGAAATCACTGAGACAACCATCAATTATAATGTTAGACAAAAATATACACCACAGAATGCGACCAGTGACCAATCACAGTCCAGTGTTACTGAGCGATGTGATGTTTGTAGTGCAGTTACCTGTGGCTCATTCTGTCCCTGATATCACATACATCACGGAGATGTCTGTTTATCTGCAAGACGTATTTTTTAGAGTGCTTGCTCATCTGCAGTACGTCTATAGGACGTCTCCTTTCAGATGTCAAACAAACGTTTAGAAGATGTCTTAAAGATTTAGAATGCATGTAAAACTGACATCTTACAGACGTCTATCTGATATTTGTACACAGCAGATGCTTTCCAGATGAAGTGATCTTTAACAGACCTCTTGCAGACGTGCCTGTGCTATCTGGGGTGAGGTCGGTGTTTTGAGATTACAGTAAGTCACTGAAGGTCCTGCGGAGTCATTCAGACTCTCAGTGACGCATGAAAAGCTGTTCCCTCATTAAGTTCTGACTGGGATTACAGCTCTTCCTCTAGTGGACTTAACACTGACACTATACACAAACACTGCACACGAGTGTGTTTCATAACATGCACATTAAGAGCGTGTCATTGCACATGTGTGGCTGTCATTAGACCGTTTGTGCATTTATTAAAGCATCTTTACACTGCAGAAGTGACACATGCAGCATCATATATACCACAAAAAGTGCATTTATACAAGCACATTTCACATATTTACACTGGAATCGGTGAATCATGCTTGCATGTCATATTGTTGCAGTCTTACATGCATCAGCTCAGCAGTGGTGTGTGTGTGCGTGTGTGTGTGTGTGTGTGTGTGTGAGAGAGAGAGAGAGTGTGGGTGTGTGTGTGTGTGTGTGTGTGTGTGTGTGAGTG